CAGAGGAGTGGCATCGCCAGATCCCTTTCCGTTGTCCAGCAGGTGCGCCACGTGGAGGCGGGGTTGGCTTAGGCTCCAAGATCTTAGCGGAGCCCCTTACACCCATCGAACACCTGAAATATAAATAATATTAATCAATAAAAAATAATATGTGTAAAATATATGCTCATAAAACATTGTTACTTACCTTATGTACTTGCTGTTTTTCTATAATAAATAAGTACGTGTGCATACGGGGACAGTGGCACTTACCGCGAATTTTATTAGTAGGGTGAAGGTATATTTGCAACAACGGTGTTGCACCGCTGAGTACATGAACCCGCGCTTCGAGTTAGTTGCACTAGAACATCATACGAGGTGACACCTATGTCTCCCTCCCCGCGGATGTACACGCGCTCACCAAATTTTTTTAGTATATTTTTCTCCCAGACGACACCAGCGGCCTACATTATCAACATAGTGGACCTTCGGCCGAATATTTACGTTGTCTGCAAAAAATATAATAATAATAAGTACCAGTTATGTTCCACACGCCGGCTACGCCGCAAAAAAAGCGACGACCACGTGGCACCGCTGTAAAATCGGAGTGCAAGAACAACCAAGATGTGTTACCATCGTTCAGCTTAAAGGATGAAGTGCTTGGAAAAACCTGGAAATGTGCAAAGTGCCTGTAGTAAGAGTAAAAAGTCATCAAAGACCGCAGGTCAAGATGGCACGCAAACGGCAATTGGAATACGAAACCGCTAAAGCTATGGCTCTCGTGGAAATAAAAGCAGCGGAAGCTGAAGCACAAGCAGCAGAAGCAGAAGCCAAGGTTGAAAGTGCTCAGGCAGAAGCTGACAAGATTAAGGCAAATATTCAGTCGGAGCTGCTAAAGAAACAGCTTGCTGCTGAGATGGCTGAATTGGAATCTCGATCACGCTCTTCCCACAAGTCATCTGTAAAGTCTTCGACCAGTAAAGTTGAACATTGGCTTAATGTACCAGGAAACCAGCATGTGGAGAACCAAGAAGCTTACTCCCGTGAAACATTCGGCCTAGAAAAGCTAGCACATGCCTTGAATGAGGCAGTGGCTGCCTCTTCATATAAAATACCTTAGACGACTCGACCTGGCAACGTACAACACACGAACCCTGAGGACTGACGATAAGATCGTGGAGCTGGAAGAAGAGATAGATAAGTTGCGCTGGCATATTATAGGATTATCCGAAGTCCGAAGAGAGGGGGAAGACACGGTAATCCTCGAATCCGGCAACTTGCTCTATCACCGGGAGGGCGATCATCTGTCCCAAAGAGGTGTCGGATTTATCGTCCACAAGTCTCTCGTTAACAACGTTGTAAAGATCGGGAGTGTGTCGACGAGGGAAAGTCATACAGATTTACGCACCAACCTCGGCACACCCCGATGAGGAGGTGGAGGAAATGTATGAGGATATCTCTAGAGCCACGCATTCCTCCAAAACCCAATATACGGTGTTAATGGGAGACTTCAATGCAAAACTAGGCACAAGAGGGAACGGTGAGCTGAAAGTAGGGAAATTTGGAATAGGGAAACGGAACCCAAGGGGCCAGCAGCTGGCCGACTTCATGGAGAAAGAGGGACTCTTTATGATGAACTCTTTCTTCCAGAAGCGGCCCCACAGGAAGTGGACCTGGTCGAGCCTCAACGGTTCGACAAAAAATAAGATTGACTTCATTATGACGACCAGACGACAACTGTTCAGTGATGTCTCCTTGATCGCGAGGGTGAAAAATGGTAGCGATCACCGAATGGTTAGAGGCACACTGAACCTAAACGTTAAGTTGGAGAGGTCTCGTCTAATGAAGTCAACGATCCGTCCTCCTCGTGCTCTGTTCCAAAGGGAACAGAGCACGAGGGGACTTTTCCCGAAACCTTCCAGCTCGAGTTACAAAACCGTTTTCAGTGCCTAGAAGACTGCAATGAAGTGGACGATATGAATGACAAGCTCGTGGAAACTGTCCATGCGGTCGGAGCTAAGTTCTGCAAGACCCGCCGCAGAAGAATACAAAAACTCTCCGATCACACTCTTAATCTCATGGCTGTTAGACGGGAGATGAAGCTACATTCTTCAACAGACTTGACAGCATACAGACATCTGAACAGACAGATCTCCAAATGCATGCGGCGGAACTTACGTAACTTCAGTACAGCTCGTATTGAAGTTGCGTCGAAGAAGCGATCGAGCGGAACCAAGGCTCCAAAGTCTTTGCCAGAGATCTGTCTGCCAGAAAGAGCCAACAGTCAAAGCTGAAGACAGAATGTGGCAGCATCGTTTCCGGGACATCTGAGATTTTGAGTGAGATTGAGAGGTTCTATGGGCAGCTGTACACGTCATCGTTGGAGCCACACGCAAGTGTGAGTAACGATCCAAGAGCGAGTCTCATCCGACACTATTCCGAAGATATCCCGGACGTCAGTCTGAGCGAGATTAGAATGGCTCTCCAGCACCTTAAAAACGGTAAGGCCCCAGGCGAGGATGGAATTACAGCGGAGCTTCTGAAAGCGGGTGGAAGACCGGTACTTGAAGTCCTTCAGAAGCTCTTTAATTCCGTCCTCCATGGTGGCATTACACCGGAGGCGTGGAGCAGAAGTGCGGTGGTCTTGTTCTTCAAGAAAGGTGACAACGCTCTCTTGAAGAACTACAGACCGATTTCCCTTCTGAGCCGCGTCTACGTGCTGTTTTCGAGAGTCATTACGAATCGTCTCGCGCGCAGACTTGACGACTTCCAGCCTCCCGAACAAGCCGGTTTCCGAAAGGGCTTTAGCACCATAGACCACATACATACCCTTCGGCAAATTGTACAGAAGTCCGAAGAGTACAATTTGCCACTATGTCTGGCGTATGAGAAAGCCTTTGATTCCGTCGAAATTTGGGCGGTGCTGCAGCACCTTCAGCGGTGCCAAGTTGACTGTCAGTATATCGAAGTGTTGAAGTGTTTGTACAGTAGAGCTACGATGGCTATCCGAGTACAGAACCAGAGTACGAAACCTATCCAATTGCAGAGAGGTGTAAGACAGGGTGACGTCATATCCCCGAAACTCTTCACCGCTGCATTGGAAGACGTTTTCAAGCTTCTGGACTGGAAAGGATACGGTATCAACATCAATGGCGAGTACATCACTCACCTTCGATTTGCCGACGATATAGTCCTTATGGCAGAATCGCTGGAGGACCTAAGCACTATGCTCAATGACCTCAATAGTGTCTCCCAACGTATAGGTCTTAAGATGAAAATAGACAAAACAAAGATTATCTTTACACCTATGCCGGTAGTTGTTGGGAGCACTAAGCTCGAAGTTGTTGACGTGTATGTTTACCTGGGACAAATAGTCCGACTAGGTAAGTCCAACTTCGACCGAGAGGTCAATCGACGGATTCAACTCGGCTGGGCAGCGTTCGGGAAGCTACGACACATTTTCTCGTCAGACATACCTCAAAACCTTAAAACGAAATTGTACAACCAGTGCGTGTTGCCAGTGATGACTTACGGAACTGAGACGTGGTCCTTCACAGCTGGCCCTATGAGGAAGCTCAAAGTCGCTCAGCGAGCTATGGAGAGGGCTATGCTCGGAGTTTCTCTGCGTGATAAAATTAGAAATGAGGATATCCGCACTAGAACTAGAGGAACCGACATAGCCCAACGGATTAGTAAGCTGAAGTGGCAGTGGGCCGGCCATATAGCTCGAAGAACCGACAACCGATGGGGAAGAAAGGTTCTCGAGTGGCATCCTCGTACCGGTAGGCGAAGTGTAGGGCTACCCCCCACGAGATGGAGTGACGATCTGGTAAGGCATGCAGGAAGTCGATGGATGCAGGTGGCTCAGGACCGTGCTTTGTGGCATACCTTGGGGGAGGCCTATGTTCAGCAGTGGACTTATGAAAGGCTGTAATGATGATAATGATGAAGTGAAGATCTTATGTTATGTAATTGTAACGCTGAGCCAAAATTATTAATTGGTCAGGACAATCATCATTTAATTTCTCCCATTCGATGTGTTCGTGATAAGCAGCGTGAGCCGTACATAACTCAAACTGCGCTTGGATGGTGTGTGCACGGATGTATGGTAAGTGATGTTAATTGCACTGATCGCTTTGTCTCTTTCATTAATAATTGCACCGAAAAGGCGGGTCCGTCGCAGTTTGTCTTTCACTTACACACGGTAGAATCGATTACTAGCGATCTCTCTCTCGATAATGATAACGCTGAATGCACCTGTGCGCAGTTGCACGATGCGGTTCGTAGATCCTTCGCATTAGAATCTATTGGTGTAGGTTCGAAGCTGCGCCGCAACCCAGACGAAATACTCGCTTTACAAATTTTAGATGACACTGCAGAATTAGTAGAAATGGTCAATGGACTGTCGGCTTACCGTGGAAATACTATGAATTACATTTACCCGACTCTTACCTTAACGCTTTTAATCGGTTAAAGTCAATAGAAAGGAAATGTTTGCTCAACAAAGAGTATGCAACTCGTTATTGTGGAAGAATGAGATACTTATTTTCTAATGGTTATGCTAGAGAACTTAACGAGACCGATAAAAACTCTAATAAACGTATAATATGGTATTTGCCACACTTTGGTGTAGATAATCCAAATAAGAAAAAACTGCGTTTAGTTACTTTAAATGATGTTCTTTTACAAGGCCCTGATTTGTTACAATCGTTATTAGAAATAATGTTACGATTTAGAGAAAACCGCGTAGGTATCATAGGGGACATAAAAGACATGTTTTTAAGGATAAATATACGAACAGAAGATGTTAATTCTTTGCGTTTTTTGTGGAAAGATATTTATTTAAGTAAGGAAAATGAACAATTAGGCTTCGGAATTAGTAACAAAGAGTCAAAATCACCTATACTACATTCTGTTAAGAAATAAGTTATGACGTCATTAATTTTCGGCGCTAATTGCTCCCCATTTATAGCGCAATATATAAATCAAAACAAAAAAACACATTGCGCTTTCAGAATAAAATGCCGGATGCAGTTAATGCAATTATGAAAAATCAATCTATGAACGATTTTATCGATAGTTTACCAGACGTTGCTACTGCTACAAAAATGATAAAAGATATTTCATATATTAAGCAGCAAGGTGGTTTTGTGATGCGTAACTGGTTAAGTAATAATCCAATTGTTCTTAATGATATGCCAAAAGAGACTTTAAATGACATGGCGATACGGTTTAATGTCGAATCCCAGGCAGAACGAACGCTTGGGCTTTTGTGGTTTCCCGCGAGTGATATGTTCGGGTTCGATCTTTCGTTAAAGCGTATACCGAGTGATATTTTACAACTATCACGAAAACCGACTAAGCGTGAAGTTCTTCGCATTATAATGTCTGTATATGATATTCATGGTTTTTTAGCTCCTTTTACGATAAAATCTAAAATGTTAATGCGCGAAATATGGAATGTAGGTATAAAGTGGGATCAGGAAATAACAGATAGTCTATTTGTTTTATTTAAAGATTGGATTTCGCAGTTACAAGAAATGAGTTACGTTCGAATCCCGCGCTGGTATTTCTATAGCGACGATTCTGTCGGTGTGAATGAGAAGAACGGCCGCACCGTAAACGACAATGAGACGTCGTTGCAGTTACATATTTTTTGTGATGCATCTCCATGCGCATACGCATGTGTTGCTTATTGGCGTAAACAAGACAGCAACTGCGTACAGGTGTCATTCATTGCGAGTAATAGTCGCGTAGCGCCGTTAAAACCGTTAACTATGCCTAAACTCGAACTTCAAGGTGCGTTATTAGCATGTCGCTTGGCAGACTATAAAAAAGGAGCATAGAATTAAACCGTCGCGTTTTTTATTGGACTGATTCAATGACTGTTATTTATTGGATTCGTAACGAGCATAGAAATTACAAAGTTTTTATTGCAAATAGGTTAGGTGAAATTGATGAATTAAGTAAAATTGATGAGTGGCGTTATGTGCCGACAAATTTAAATATAGCGGATTTAGCTCCAAAAAATAATGATTAGGACTTCGAAAAGGACTCCTCTTGTTTAACGGGCCCATCTTTTCTGTACACGGAAGAAAAGTATTGGCCCCGAGAGCTTGAAAATAACGAAAAGGGCAACAATGAGCTGTTGGATAAAATATATGTAGTAATAAAATCACCAAAGGAGAATTGTAATAGTATTTATGACTTACCTATTCCGGATCCAAACTGTTTCTCCGTGTGTCTGCGCTTGCTTCGCTGCACCGCATCTGTGCTATTATTTATAAAAAAATGTAGAAAAACCGGTACTCGGTGTATTGATAATTTGTCAATGAATAGAGCCGAAGTACTTTTGTTACGCTATTCACAATAACAATCAGTTCAAACTGAAATTGACTTGCTGAAACCAAATAAAGAAATTAATCATGATAGTCGTTTACGTTCATTGACACCATTTTTAGATAAAGACGGCTTATTGCGTGTAGGAGGGCGTATAAACGCGGCTGCAAACGTCACTGAAACTATGAAAAACCCGGTGATTGTGGATGGTAAACATCGCATAGCAAGGCTGGTGGTTTTGGACTTCCACGTACGTGCGGCTCATTCGTATAATGAACTTGTAATAAACGAGCTACGACAAAAATATTGGGTTATAAATCTGAGACCTACAGTTCGCTCCGTAGCTTCACAGTATCTAGTTTACCGAATATGAAAAGCAGCACCAAAACCGCCTCGCTCCGGGGACTTGCCATCTCAAAGATTGGTTCATCATCAAAGACCTTTTACCGTTTGTGGTGTAGACTTATTCGGTCCGATCGAAGTAACTGTGGGCAGGCAGAGACCCAAAAGATATGGTGTTCTTTTTACATGTTTAACAATACGAGCTGTTCATATTGAAATAGTATCGACGCTTACCGCAGACTCACTTATAATGGCACTTAGGAGGATGGCAACACGCCGTGGGTGGCCTCATACTGTCATATCTGACAACGGAACCAACATGCGAGGTGCTGATGCTGAACTTCGAAAATCTTTTAAAGAAATTAAGCAGCAGCAAGTTATAGCCGAAGCATTAAACAAAGGAGTTTCCTGGCAGTTTATACCACCAGCCAGTCCTCATACGGATGGTCCTCATATGGGGAGCTTGGGAGCGTCTGATTAGAAAATCTTCTTTGAACTTACCTGTACCTGGGGTCTTTGATGATGGCGACATGTATCTTAGACGACAGTGGCGTATTGCCCAACGGTTGACAGACTTATTTTGGAGCAGGTGGGTAAAAGAGTTTTTGCCAGAGCTAATTACTCGCCGTAAATGGGATAGGGAAGGTCCGCAATTAAAAGTAGGAGATCTTGTTGTAGTAGTCGATCCATCATTATTTCGTAACTGTTGTCCAATAGGTATTATTGAAAAGGTTTATCCAGGTTCAGACGACAGAGTCAGAGTAGTTGACGTTAGGACTAAGTCAGGAGTGATGAAGCTGATGAGAGAATCAGCTGCTCGCGTGGCCTTTCTCCAGCTTGATGATGAGTGTCTGCGAACCGACACTTGGGGGGAGGATGTTGACGACACTCACGTTGCTTCTCGAATACCTGAAATATAAATAATATTAATCAATAAAAAATAATATATGTAAAATATATACTCATAAAACATTGTTACTTACCTTATGTACTTGCTGTTTTTCTATAATAAATAAGTACGTGTCCATACGGGGACGGTAGCACTTACCGCGATTTTTATAAGTAGGGTTAAGGTATATTTGCAACAACGGTGTTGCACCGCTGAGTACATGATCCCGCGCTTCGAGTTAGTTGCACTAGAACATCATACGAGGGGACACCTATGTCTCCCTCCCCGCGGATGTACACGCGCTCACCAATTTTTTTTAGTATATTTTTCTCCCAGACGACACCAGCGGCCTACATCATCAACACTACATTTGTGGTAATCTGGTGGTAATCTACATTTGTGGTAATCTGCTGGAAATCTACATTTATGGTTATCTGGTGGTAATCTATATTTGTGGTAATCTGGTGGTAATCTACATTTGTGGGAATCTGTTCGTAATCTACATTTGTGGTAATCTGGTGGTGATCTACATTTGTGGTAATCTGGTGGTAATCTACATTTGTGGTAATCTGGTGGTAATCTACATTTGTGGTAATCTGGTGGAAATCTACATTTATGGTTATCTGGTGGTAATCTATATTTGTGGTAAACTACATTTGTGGTAATCTGTTGGTAATCTACATTTGTGATAATCTGTTGGTAATCTACATTTGTGGTAATCTGGTGGTAATCTACATTTGTGGCAATCTGGTGGTAATCTACATTTGTGGTAATCTGGTGGTAATCTACATTTGTGGTAATCTGGTGGTAATCTACATTTGTGGTAATCTGGTGGTACTCTACATTTGTAGTAATCTGGTGGTAATCTACATTTGTAGTAATCTGGTGGTAATCTACATTTGTGGTAATCTGGTGGTACTCTACATTTGTGGTAATCTGGTGGTAATCTACATTTGTGGTAATCTGGTGGTAATCTACATTTGTGGTAATCTGGTGGTGAGGCTCACTGTTAGCAGTGCACTTGTTGGCTATAGAGATGTTAAAGATGATGATGGTATAAACCGCTTCTCGGCCTTTTAACTAAGATCAAAAATGACGGTATAAATAATAGAAAAAATATATTATCAACTAAAGGACTAGGAAGCACTAGGAATTTACACTATATCGTGGAGGCATTTTAAGGCTGGATTTAGTGCTCGACCGACGGTGAGCACTGACATCGGTTGAGCGTAGCTATATCAATGAAAACCTACGAGTATTAACGGCTACAGTGCAGCGCTGATGAAATACTATGCGCGCACGGCTACGTCGCGCGTACGAAGACCGTCGGTCAAGCTCGTCGGTTTGACGTACGTCGGTTTACTAATGCGCTATGGCGGTACGTGCGTGCGTTCAGTGCGACGCTGACAGACACAGAGGCCCGTATTCACAAACGACACATACATAAGTATGGTAGCAACACTATGCTAAGTAAGGTATTTCTCACTGCGTTCGTCATGGCAGGCCGTTCATTTCATGAACAATACTTAGTGGACTCCTTGTTGTGCGGACACATAGCAGTGAATGGGGCGCCGTGATTGGTTAACGTTGTGACGCGACTTCACTCGAGTTGAATGACATAAAAAATACTAACACGTGTTGTTTTCTTTCAGGTAAAAGACGTTACTGGTACTGTTATTATAGGGTACCTATGCATAAGTATTATTAAAATAATGTGGATTTCAAACTGTTGATAGGTAGATTAACTAAATTATTATTACAAATCTGGAAACTCCCAGATGAATAAAATCTTAAGGCCACTAAGTAACTTTTAAAAGATCTGCATTTATTAGAGGCAGAAGTATATTTTTAACGGTATCCTTTGAAAACCTATAGTAACTTTAAAATTCATTGGCACTGTTATAATCAAATGGATTTTGAAAGTCACGTATCACATTTCTTGTGCTAATCGTTCCTTGCACGTTTGTTCTCTCCAGGATATAATTACAAATCAACAAACAAGCTATATACCCCATACCAGTTTGACATTTGCGTTGATTTGTCGCACTATGCGTAGCGTAAAATAGCTAGCGAGCTACTTTGACTGTGCGTTCATTTTGATGAGCGCATAGTGTGGTCTAACACTCAAGTGACGTTTATGAAACAAAATTTCGTCCACTGTGCGTTAAAGCCTACTGTGCGCACGCATAGTATCGTTCTTGAATACGGGTGAGAGTACTTTGAATAATCAGAAACTGACAGAGCAACCGACCGTACGCGCATACGCATTATCGCGAGCAAAAATGAACTTTGATATATGAACATTGTTCTTGGAATTTCGAATACAATGAACAAAATTCTACTTCAATTAAACGGTCTACAATTATTGGGTGCACATGATATCTCCTCCTTCTTCTACGCCGTTATCGTTTGCGTAAATAGTACGCACATATTATAGAGTTAACAAATGGATTCAGTTCTCTTCGTAATTTTACACGTCTAACAAAGCTTGCCGTCAGTTAAGCACTAAGCGCTTGGCCTCGACCGACGATCAGGACGTACCGTCAGCGCGTACGATACGTGCTGACGGTCGGTCGAGCACTAAATCCAGCCTTAATACATAAATTGTATATGACTTGGCTTTTTCATAATAGTCTTACGATAGCAAAAGGCGTATATGAATGTAGTGACGTGTTCTTTTGCACACGAGGAGACTGCACTTGATTCGACAAACACAAATGTAGGTTCATAAAATGACAAATATAGCTTAATTAATGCACATTTATGATATTGAATTCTTAAATTATCACTTCATACCTTCTAACAAGAATACGAAGGAAACATAAATTATAAAACATTTTTTTTTCTATACATTTCTTTTAATTGTTATAGCACATAAATCAATTAATAATATTATAAACGTCCACGTGCGGTGAATTTCCTAAAGGAACTCCATCCGCGGCTGGTCGTTGCTGCTGGTGATAAGAGGGCTGGTTCTTTCCTCGCTCAAAGGCTAAGTATAGCCATTCAGCGGGGAAACGCAGCCAGCGTTCTTGGCACGATACCGCGGGGAGTAGGACTATATGATAATTAAGTTTCTAGTTTTAGTTTTTTTTTTATTATCATAGTTTTTAATATTGTAGATAAAATTAAGTATTATGTAGAATTTTAAATATATTATATTATTTAAATTTCTCAATTAATAATGAAAAGAGTACCCGCAGCAACCAAAATCTTTGGCTAATATAGTAAATGTTTATTAACGCCACAAACGTTCACGACTAAGTCCCGGTTTCC